ATTCTCTTTGTGTCTGTGTCTGGGTACAGGAGGGTGTAGGACACTCACATCTTCCTGGCCATCATCTTCAGAAGTCTACTTTGACATGACTTGTGCTTTCTTTTGGCAAGAGTTTTTTTTTTTCTTTTTTTTTTTACATTTCTTTTTTTTTAATTTATTTATTTATTAAAGATTTCTGTCTCTTCCCAGCCACCGCCTCCCATTTCCCTCCCCCTCCCCTAATTAAGTCCCCCCCCCCTCAGCCCGAAAAGCAATCAGGGTTCCCTGTCCTGTGGGAAGTCCAAGGAACCCCGCACCTCCATCCAGGTCTAGTAAGTTGAGCATCCAAACTGTTTTGGCAAGAGTTTACAGGAGACTGCTTTGTCTATTCCCTTGTTGTCAATTTTTCTGTATACTTGTTTTGAAACGTGAATTATGAAGAGAATCTGTTTGTCTTATGATTATCTTTCTCAGTCTGTTTGTAACTGACTGTCCGATGTAAGTCCCAGCTACATATAACCCCCAAAACTGTCAGTTGGTTTGTGACACCTGTTATTGAAGTGAATAACTGAGAGCTTAAGGGGAGGAAGGCTTATTTTGGCTCACAGGGTTTTAGGTGGTACATGGCCCCGTGTTTATGTTAGAAATAGGTCCAGGGGGGCTGGAGAGATGGCTCAGATGTTAAGAGCATCGCCTGTTCTTCCAAAGGTCCTGAGTTCAATTCCCAGCAACCACATGGTGGCTCACAACCATCTGTAATGAGGTCTGGTGCCCTCTTCTGGCTTTCAGGCATACATGCAGACAGAATATTGTATACATAATAAATAAATATTAAAAAAAAGAAAATAAATAGGTCCAGGGTTCTAAGAAAATGATCAGCCAACCCTAAGTATTTCAACAAGGCAAAAAGTTTTACTTGGGCAGAAGGATGCATAGCCACATCAGACTAAGCAGGCAAATACACCGGTGGGCTCCTGCTAGATTTATTATTATTATAATATTATTATCATTATTATTATTATTTTGTTTTTTTTTTTTGAACAGGGTTTCTCTATTTAGCCCTGACTGTCCTTGAACTCACAGAGATCCACCTGCTTCTGCCATCCAAGTGCTGGGATCAAAGGTATGCACTGCCACCCCCACCACCTGGTGGGTTTATTATTATTATTATTATTTTTTCTTTGAGACAGGGTTTCTCTGTAGCTTTGGAGTCTGTCCTGGAACTAGCTCTTGTAGAGCAGGATGGTTTCAAACTCACAGAGATCTGCCTGCCTCTGCCTCCTGAGTGCTGGGATTAAAGGCGTGTGCCACCATCGCCACCATCACCACCATTGCCACCACCACCCGGCTTAGATCTCTTGATTTTGGTGGTGGAGGTAGAGAATACTGAATTGAACCCAGCGCCTCCTCGTGCTGGGCAGGTGCTCTAGCAAGCCATGTCCAGAGTTCCTGCCCATTTTTTTAGGTTGGGTTTTTGTCTTCCTGTTTGCTTGTTTTTATGTTTAGATGGGGTCTCACTATGTAGCCTTGGCTGTCATGGAACTCACTGTCAACCAGGCTGGTGTCAGACTCACAGGAACTCTCTTGGCTCTGCCTCCCAAGTGCCTGCATTAAAGATGTGCACCCCTGTGCCTGGCTCCTTACTGCTGAGATTCCAGCACTCGGGAGACAGAGGCAGGTGGATCTCTGTGAGTTTGAGGCCAGCCTGATTTATAGAGTGAGTTCCAGGACAGCCAGGGCTATACACAGAGAAACCCTGTCTTGAAAAACAAAACCAAACCCCCCAAATAAGATGATCCTCTCTTTTCAATGCGATCAAATCCAAATCCATGATACATGCATCATGAGTTGAAAACTGCATGTGCTGACCTAGTAGTGTGCCACAGCCCGCAGCACAGTGCACTGTAGACGTGATGCGGACCCCGAGGCCCGCAGCTGCTGCACTTCTGAGCTGCCCAGCGTGGGGCAGGGTCATAGGCATCTGAAGTATGGTTCCTGTGAACATGTATCAATTTCCCACCACCATAAAGCTGAAAAAAAAAGCCGCAAGCCAAGTGAGCATGAGAATTCCTTGTTTTCGTTGAAGTCTTTTGTCAGATACATGATTTGCAAATACGTTCTCTCTCTCACTGTCTGGGTTCTTTTTCAGAAGGGTGGATCTCAGCCTGGCCTTGAACTGAGACGTCCTGTGCCTCCCTATCCTGAGCGCGGAGATTATGGGTGTGTGTTACCATTCTTCACTTTTTAATTCTCTCTCTCTCTCTCTCTCTCTCTCTCTCCCTCCCTCCCTCCCTCTTTGTTTTTTTTTGTCCATCTGTGTACTCTGGTTGTCTTGGAACTTGGCCCTGACTGGCCTTGAACTCACAGAGTTCTCCCTGCTTCTGCCTCCCTAGTGCTGGGATTAAAGGCGTGCACCATCACCCCCTGGCTGACCTTTTAATTCTCTTTTTTTTTAAATATTTATTTATTTATTATGTATACAATATTCTGTCTGTGCAGGCCAGAAGAGGGCACCAGACCCCATTACAGATGGTTGTGAGCCACCATGTGGTTGCTGGGAATTGAACTCAGGACCTTTGGAAGAGCAGGCAATGCTCTTAACCTCTGAGCCATCTCTCCAGCCCCTAATTCTCTTAATAGTAACTTTTGGAGAGCAATGTCGTCCCCCCTCTGTTGGTTCTGGTGGTTGACAGGGGACTTCACTGATTCTAACGTCACTCTGGTTCACTTAGCCACACACACTTCCAGTTCAGACAGAAGGCTGTAGATTTTTATGCAGTTCATTTGTATTTTTTCTGTGAGTATTGAAGGATGAACCTAGGGCCTTGCCTGGGCTAGGCTGTCTCTCTGCCTCAAGTTTTACCCAAATCCCAATTTACCTTTGATGAATGGTGCTTTTGTTTCATGTCTAAGAATCTGTTTATTTTTGTCCCAGGTTGTAAGGCTTTTCTTTTGATTTTTAACTTCTGAAAGTTTCCTAACTTTGCGTTTACATTAGGGGCCTATGTGCATTTTCAGTTAATTTTCGCCGTAAGATACTGGCCTTGAGCCCTGAGCGCACGCCGTACTCAGGGCTGTTCCATCCAGCCCTGAGTAGCCGGAACGATGGCCACAGTGCTGACTTTGACTTCCTCTTACTTATGGACGACACCGTGAAGATCTCTGGATTTACTTGTGTAGAGTTGCTGTGGTCAGAAATTGTATTGATTTCTCACTGTGTCCGTAACAAACCACTTGAAGAAACACAATTGACTTGTGTGTGGTATAGGCCCAAGCCTCAGTAGGCTAGAATCAAGGCTGCTTCTTTCTGAGGCTGTGTAAGAGTCCATGTGCTGATGTAAGCACCTTCTAGAGAAGTCCATGACCCTGGCCTCCTGGGCCCTTCTTCCTTCAGAGCTGCTAATGAGGCCTCTTGTCATCCCTCTGAGCTGATCCTCTAGCTTTTCTCTTAAAGAAAAAGACTCTGGGCTACTCATGTGGTCCAGGGTGATGTCTCTTTGTGGTTCTGACTGTGAACACAGCTGTGAGTCAGTCCCTTTCCCGCATTAGATCATCTGGCCGTAGGTTCCAGGACGCTGAGACAAGCTTACAGGTCTTAGGCGAGGGTTGGGTTAGCGATGGCTAAGAGGAAGTAGGAGAGCGAAGGAGCAAGAAACAGACCAGACAGGACTGACATGGGCTGCCTATCCCTCTCCTCCTAGTACCCCTCTCCCAACCTTGGACGGGATAGGGTGGTGGTGCTGGCAGGATGTGTTGCTCCCAGGTCCCAGGCTGAACTGCTACCTCCTCTCTCCATGCTGGGTCTGGCCTGGCCTTGATGTCCAGCCCTCTGATCCCTGAGGCTGAGGAGATACAAATCATTCATTGCAAGATGTAGGGCCTCTTGCTGGGCAAAGGCTAGCTTTGGGTTCCCATTGCACAACTTAGGAGGAATGAGAGGGTTGGTTGCTATTAATACTCCTTATTACTACTCTTCCCTACTTTTCTCTACTGATGGGCATCTTGGAACTGCCCTCTCCCCCCGCCCTGGGCCCACCATGGCTTGCTATTCTAGCTTCCCAGGGCCAAGGGAGGGCCACAGATTAGTCACCAGAACAGAATTCACCACTTACTCAGAACTGGCCACCAGTGTAGCCAGTGTCTTGTTTAGGGTGCTGACAGGTGCTGAGGAAGCCCTGCTCCATCCCTTCTAGTCCCTTCAGCTCCATCCTCAATGCTTGCCAGAGGGACACTGCAGCTTAGGGGATGGGGGGGGCATGGAAAGGGTAGGTAACCAGTAAGCCTCCCTGTTATCCACTTCTAGTGACAGGGGAACCCTGCTATCAGCATAGCAGGTTAGGAATAGGGCGCTCAGCGAGGACAGGACACGGAGCTAGGTCAAGTCGAGCGCCAAGTTAGCTCTCTTTGATGCACTCCCATCCTCATACTGATTGAGAGTCTCCCACAAGGTATACAACTAGAAAGCTAAGATCTAGGCCCTGACAAGGGTGTCCTTGTGGGCTTCTGGTGAGGTCTGGCCAAGAGGTATAAATCAGCCCCGTCCCCACGTCTGGCCACCTCCGCGGGTCCGGGTCCAGCGGTCTGCCTGTTGTAGGTGAGCAGAATCACTTTAGTGGCCGTCAGGGTCTGAGATTGAAGGGCTACAGAGGAATTTCAGGGTGTGAAGAGGACTGAGGAGACCTGTCTGACGATTTTTTTTTGCGTGTGTTGAGGCCAAGAGATAGACCACGGGGGTCTGAAGTGGATGCCAGATTGTCTGGCACCTTGGGCCACCTGTCATAGGCGCAGGAGCTGCGCAGAACTGTCGTCATGGCAACCCATACTAAGCAACGGCCCTAGGACCCGGGTCCTCTCTTGGCTAGGGTCTGAGCGTCCCAGGGGCGCAAGGCGGGGCCTCGACCGGAGGCGGTGCCCGCGGTGGAGGGGCGGAGCGCAGCACCAAGCGCCTGGGCCCCGCGCTGAGGCTCGGCGGGGCCGGCCGGCGCGCTGCATCTGGCCGGCCCGGTAGGCGTGGGATGCGAACGGCGGGGCAGCAGAGGCGGGCTGCTGGTCCGAGCTGGTCGGCAGAGCTGGGCGGTAGGCGGCGGCTGCGGAGGCAGCGGCAGCAGCAGCGGCTGCCAGCTGGGCCTGTGCTATTCCCGCCCCCAGGCTGCAGGCCGTGGGATGGGCAGGGGCAGCTGCATGGCGGCGGAACCAGGCCCAGGCATCACTGGGGAAACCTTTAGTGGGGAAAGATAAACTGAGACGCAACCTGCTGGGAGCCGCTAGACCCTCCTCACCGGAGTCGAGGAGGGAGGATCCTTCCTTGCCTCAGCCTCTCTTTTGGAGGTACCAAGCGAGTAGGGGGTCTGTGCAAACCTGAGGGAGAGGCAGGCATTTTGGAGCTTGGAGGCCCTGAACCTGTGTGTGATGTTAGAGCAGCGGGCAGATTTGGTAGAGATGGACATTAGGGCCTGGTATGAGAGACCCAGGGCAGGTGGACCTGGGCTTGGTCCCTGGAACATGGCTAGGACAGAGTGTGGGGGAAGGGACGACAGGCTTGGGTTCTGGCTTTCTGGAAGCCAGGACACTCCTAGGGGTTTAAAGCCTTTTGCTCGTGGCGTTTGGCATTTGACAGTGACTGAGCAAGGAGTGATGGCGTGAAAATGATGGGGAGAAAGGAACAGCCAGCAGAGACTACTTGGCCTGGACAATCGCTAAGAGGAAGGGAATTCTCAGTGTTAGTCTGTAGCCAATGGAGTCCCAGGTGATCAGGAGTGGGGCCAGCCTGTGCCACCAGTGGGCGTGAAAATGGAGTGTGTACCTGAGAAACTGGAGTGTGTGGATCCTTGGGCCCCTGGTGTGGCAGATGACTCCCTAAACACTTTAGTAAAGCTGTGGTGTAGCTTTGAGAACCCAAGGGGGTGAACAGAAGGGGCAAGAACTGAGAAGAGGAAGGGACCATGGACTGTAGAGGAATACATCACTGTCACGGGTGACAATAAATTTTATGTCTTTGTCTAGACAGGACAGTAAACAGAGTCCTCATGCCAGGTGTTGAGGAGGCTGGAGAGGAGAGCCCTGATTGGAAGTGACTTTTGCCTGGGTGGGTGAAGGCTGCCAGGAGTGTGAACAGGCCCAGATATCAGTACCCACATTCTGGGTACCACAGACATGACAGCCAGTCTTAGGGACTTACGAAGAGACGGTCTTGCCACAGCATTCCTGAGGTTGGCCCTGAAGGTGGAGGGGAGCCAGCAGCAGAAGCCCATCAGAGGAACTGGAAGTGTGCTGATTCAGATAGAGGGTACAGCAGGAGGTGTGGCCAGGAGAGGAGCGCTTCTCCAGAGGCTTCTCCGGAGCGAGGGCTAGCGGTGGTGGGTCAGGGAAGATAATGATCTGCTTTGCCCTAGATAGCCTCAGGAAGGGGAGAGATTGAGCTGTGGGTAGAGGAAAGGGGGGTGGTGGGGTACAAGGCAGTCGTAGGAAAGTACGAGGGACTTGGAGGGTGGGTATCTCAGGTTTTGGATGACGGTCCATCTAGGATTGAAAAACTTGCTCAGTGCCTTGTCTCCAGGGTGAGATCTGGGTTTCCAACTCTCCTTGTGCGCCTAGTACAGCACAGCTACCTCAAAATGCCCAGAACCTTCCAAAAGAAGTGGCCTAAAGCCGCCAGTCCGGGCGTTGTGGTCCAGGGTGTCAGAGCCAGGAGAGACGGAGGTTTGGGTCCAGCCGTGACAAATCACCAGGGCTTTTAGAGTGGCGGCCGGGGGGTGGGGGGAACCACTTCCGTTCCATTTCCTTCCTGGCGGTGGCGGGAATGATATCGGTCCCTCAGGTGGGGCTGCAGCGCCCTCTGGAGGCCCCGTTCCGGGGCTCCAGGTCTCGGGTGCTAGCAGCGGCGCGTGCGTGCGTCCAAGGAGGCCTCCTGCACCGGGCGTGGGGACAGCACCACACGCAGGAAATAGCCAGGCCTGGGAAGGCTGGCGTGCTCCCTGCCAACCCTAGCCTCCTTGCCACTCTGCCGCACAATCTGACTTGTATCTGGTCTTTCCCAGGTTCCGAACTCGCCGGCTGGGAGCGGCAGCACACTCCAGGCAGCTGGACAAACCCCCCGCACCCGGATGCGCGGCGCCATGCCGGAGGGTTGAGCGTTGCGTTCGCTGCTCTCTGGGACACAGCAGGACCTCGTCCCGCTTTGTGTGAGGACTGCGCGCCAGGGCCGAGCCCGGGCCGCTGACCATGGTGCTGCCGCCTCCTGACCGGCGCCACGTGTGCCTGACCACGCTGGTGATCATGGGAAGTATGGCAGTCATGGACGCATACCTGGTGGAGCAGAATCAGGGCCCGCGCAAGATCGGCGTGTGCATAATTGTGTTGGTAGGCGATGTGTGCTTCCTGTTGGTGTTGCGCTACGTGGCCGTGTGGGTGGGTGCCGAGGTGCGCACTGCCAAGCGTGGCTACGCTATGATCCTCTGGTTCCTCTATATCTTCGTGCTGGAGATCAAACTCTATTTCATCTTTCAGAACTACAAGGCGGCGCGTCGTGGAGCGGCCGACCCGGTGGCTCGCAAGGCACTGACACTGCTGCTGTCAGTGTGCGTGCCAGGCCTGTTCTTGTTGCTCGTGGCACTAGATCGCATGGAGTATGTGCGCACCTTCCGAAAGCGCGAGGACCTTCGTGGTCGCCTCTTCTGGGTGGCTTTAGATTTGCTGGATCTGCTGGACATGCAGGCCAACCTCTGGGAGCCACCGCGCACCGGGCTGCCTCTGTGGGCCGAAGGCCTCACCTTTTTCTATTGCTACATGCTGCTGCTGGTGCTGCCCTGCGTGGCGCTCAGCGAGGTCAGCATGCAAGGGGAGCACATTGCACCACAGAAGATGATGTTGTACCCGGTGCTCAGCCTCGCCACTGTCAACGTGGTGGCCGTGCTAGCCCGTGCCGCCAACATGGCACTCTTCCGAGATAGCCGAGTCTCAGCCATCTTCGTGGGCAAGAACGTGGTGGCATTGGCCACTAAGGCCTGCACGTTCCTCGAGTACCGTCGTCAGGTTCGCGACTTTCCACCACCTGCGCTTGCGCTTGAGCTGCAGCCGCCTCCTTCCCAGCGCAACTCGGTGCCGCCGCCTCCACCACTGCATGGTCCTCCAGTGCGCCCCCACGGACCCTCACCCACTCGTGATGCATTGGACACGTGACAGGGCCCCGCGGGCCGCACAGACGCTGGACTAGCTGCGCGGTTTGCATGGGATGGGATGGGGCAGGCTCCCATTAGGGACAGGTGCTGTGAGTACCTGTGCAGTGAGTGCCTGGGGTTCCGGGGCGCGTCTGCTTCTTCATCTCAGGAATCTCTTGGACCGCGGACCCTCAGCTTCCACTCCAATGGCTCACCTCGATGCACAGGGCAGCGGGTGAGGCCTGGTCCCGAGTGGAGATAGAAGCCTCAACCCCCGCTGGGCTGCCAGGGTGGGAAGGGAGGGCAATGTTCCAGGAGATCTGGACCTATGGTAGGGGCCCCTGGCTCGGAGTTTGGGGCCAGGGCGGCCTCTGTCATTTTAAAGACTTGTGTTTACAGTTTTGTACCCAAAGCCTGGCTGTTCTTCCTGTTTCACAAGTCCCCTGCCTAACAACTGGGCAGAGTGGCAAGGACTGGTGAGTGTTGGGCACCCCGGGGCAGCCAGGTACTTCTGGAGCAAGCAGGTATTTCTGGGGTCTCTTCAGGTGATTCTTAGTAGTTCCAGGGTGGGGTCCATTGTGGCCCTGTGTCAGAGACACTCTTCTCCCACCTCACTGCGCCTGCCCCTACAGACTGCTCTTCCTGAGGTATCCTGACCTCCCTCTCCCTATTCCTCAGTCTCTACAGTTGTCCAGGCCTTATGTCCCTGTCCTTCCCAACTCGGGTTCAGAAGTGTCCTATACTTCTTCTCTTCCTGTACAAACTATCTGCCTGTGGGTGACTTGGGCTCATGACTGCCAGTATCAAACGGGATCAGGTGCCAGCTTCGTTCCTAAGTTGAAGCTGCGTGCAGCCTCAGCCAGAAGAGCGGTCTGGCCTCATATCACCCCAGCCTGGCCCTGCCCCAGACGCTGGCCAGTCCCGCAGTGCCCTGGCCAAGTGCACAGACCTTGACCGTCTGTCTGCAGGCGGTCTCTCCCTGACCTCTACCCTGAATTCACTGGGACTGGGAGGGTCTCGTTGTGGCAGGGGTCTTCAGCGAGGGTGTTTGAAGGGCCTTATCTGTGAGGGGTAATGGTTACATATCTTCCAGGCCTGGCACCTGCAGCACCACGCAGACCCATGACCTGCCAGGCCCGTGTTCACTGCATTGCCCAGTGCTCACATCTGCATCATTGTGATCCAGAGCAGGGGGGCTGCTGTCCAGTCTGACCTGTTGTAGAGGGGCGTGGATCCAGCTGGGCACGGTAGGGTAGCTCCATCCCTGTGCCCACCTCTGGATGTCCCTTCCCTACCCAGAGAGTTGCTTCTCTGAGTCTGGATTTTGAGAGTCACCTGTTTTGCAAGCAGCTGTCTTTGGAGACAGCTCTTCAGGGGCACAGGGAGGACCCATGGCTACACCCCTCACCTGGTGGAGTGTGGCCAGTGCCTCTCTTTTTGCCTTCCATGCTGGGCCTTGTCCCCACCTCTGACTACATCCCGCAGTGCCTGATGAGCACCCTGAAGGCCTTGGCTCTGGGTTCCACACTCCCACGACACGGCAACCCAAGCATGAGCCTAGAGAGTGGAGGCCTACAGTATGGAGAGTGACCTGCAAGAGTTCCTCAGTTAGTGGCAGACCCTGCCTGTCTTTGGCTCTGAGCCGTCTTGGATGGGGAGCACAACAGATGAGGCTCAAGAGGTGATCTGTAAATCTGAGTGTCTGGGCTGTTGCTTGTGTCCTTCCCTTGCTGAAGCTAGGGCCATCCTATCTGTCTGGTCCCAGTGTTTACATCAACCTGAATCTAGCCATTCCCTCCCTAACTTCTTGAGGTGGCTTGTGGAGCGGGGAGCTAGGGGTCCCCTTGTGCTCCTCAATTCATTCTTGGTTAATAAATCCCGGTGCTAGGTGGCTGACCTTGACCCAAGAACCTCAAGAAGACTGGGTATGATGGGCGTCTGGGAGAGGCATTGTGCAGAGCTAGTTCTTAGGACATGGGCCCTCAAACAGCAAATGTCCCAGGGATGTAAGCTGTGGGTTATGTGATTAGATCTGGGAAAGGTACCGTGTGTGTGTGGGATAGCTGTAGTCATGGGGCACCCACTGAACACTTCAGCTGAAGCGTTGGGTAAGGAAGCTGATGTCTTCAAAAGGGCAGGGAGGCGGGTAGTAAACAGACTTGGAGGCCACTCCCTGTGAGGTGAACTGGTCTGGAGGGCTCTGCCTAGGCTCTAGGCTCTAGCCCTCAGATGGGCTTTGGAGGAATGGAGGGTCAGGGTGTGCTCACTGTGAGGATCCTGAAGGAGGGGATTCTGAGATTGTATGACGTACAAGAAGTCACAGGTCAAAGGCTAAGCCTCCAGAGTACTTTAGACAAATGAACCAACCAGCAAAGGAGGCCCAAGGAGGGAGAGGACGGGTGGCTGGGCACTGGAGGGCACTGGAGGGCACTGGAGGGCGTGGTGGGTAGGATGCTTTACGTGCCTGTGGGGTCTGGGGAGGGAAATGCTCCCTGAGCGTGTGGGCAAACGATTCAGGATGCAGACAATGCGGACAGGCAGCTCTCAGCCCATTTGTGGGGAGCGGAGAAAGAGAAACGGGCATCAAGGCTGTGCCCAGGTGCTGTGTCCCTCCAAGGGGCTGACCCATCCCTGATGTCATCAAGAGCGTGTTCATGCTGTTCCCCTCCTCCCGGGCAAGGTCACGTGATGTTTCTAACTCATGGAGCAAGACTCACTTAAGGGTCAGAGAAGTCCCCGTCTGATACATTAACCACCTATACCCACGTCCCAGCTTGGGACCTGCTGTGTGCTCAACTTGTACTGTTCCGGGAGACAGCGGCATTGCTGTAGGGAGCCTGACCTTTCCGAGATCTGAGATCCTAGCCAAAGTCCACACAAGTCTGCAGACCTGGAGCCTAACCTCATGGTGCTCAAGACTTGTTCCCACAGCCAGGTGCTGGGAACTGGACTCCGGTTCTCCACAAGAGTAGCAAGTACACAGAATCCCTCTTAGCTTTCCCAACTATTAGTTTTGTTTTGTTTTTTCTCTTTTGGTTTTCTGAGACAGGGTTTCTCTGTGTAGCCTTGGCTGTCCTGGAACTCACTCTTCAGTCCAGGCTGGCCCAGGCTAGCCTTGAACTCACAGAGATCTGCCTACCTCTGTTTCCCAAGTGATGGGATTAAAGATGTGTGTCACCACCGCCTGGTCGAACTATTAGGTTTTAAGATGAGAGTCTCATATTGTTGCATAGATTGTCCCCAAACTTCCGGGTTCCAGTGCCTTTCCTGCCCCAGCCTCCTGAGCAGCTGAGAATATAGGTACCACCTTCTTGACTTGTACAGTTTGTTTGCTTATTTATTGAGACAGGTCTCACGTCTCTCGGGCTGGCCTTGAATTCACTATGAAGCTGAGGATGATGGCCTTGAACTCTGGATCCTCTGCCCCTACCTTCCCAGAGCTGGGATTATAGGCATGAACACCGTGCCCACCACCCCTTTTAAAAAAGCAGTGCTGTATGAAACCCAGGCTTCATGCATGATGGGCAAGCTCTCTACCAACTGAGCTAATCTTTAGCCCCATTAAAAAAAAGGTAGGGCTGGTGTTTTTCTCCTTTCGGCAAAGCTGTAGACCAACCCTATCTAAGCCCCTTTCTGGTACAGGTGAGAGGGTTGTGTGCATTATGACTCTTGGCTCTACCTTTCCCTAGCCAGGCTTTTGTAAGGGGCGAGGGCAGCGGCGAGGACTGTGTTCTGGTGTGCCAAGGCCTGGGCAAGCCTCGAAGACCTCAGTTCTGTCCTTGCCACACGAGCTAGTGTCAGAGGAGGTGGGCTGTGGTGAGCTGTGTTGGGCAGCACCTGCCAGGTCCTTACTGCCTCCCTTGGACCGGGCCAAGAGGAAACAATATCGTCAGGCTATGATATGCTGCCCGTTGAGCTGGGGATGCTGATCTTGGGACCAGGAGACAATGTTTTCTCTGCCACCATGACACTGTGGCAAGCTCTCAAAGTCAAGTCCCAGGCACGACCAAGCATGGGAGCAGAGCAAAAAGGTATAGATAGAGGCTGTCCTAGGAGCTAGTTCAGGCCTTGGGTCCCATTGGCTCCCAAGCTAGGGCTTCTGAGGAAGGAGGGATGCTTAGGAATGCCCATGTGATCTTTGTTTATTGTGATACTATTTGGAGTGATGATGGGATAGGGCCAGACTGTCCTTACCAGTTTGGTCCCAGCACAGGGGACAGCCTGGACCTGTGACTCCTCATCCTCCACTCCCAAGCACACTCACATCTGCTGTAGAACAGTGGCCTCAAAGTAATGAACCTGGCCGGGTGGTGGTGGTGCGCGCCTTTAATCTCAGCACTCAGCAGAGGCAGGCGGATCTCTGAGTTTTAGGCCAGCCTGGTCTACAGAGTGAGTTCCAGGACAGGTTCCAAAGCCACACAGAGAAACTCTGTCTCAAAAAAGCAAAACAAAACAAAGAACAAAAAGCAAAAAAAAAAAAAACAAAACAAAACACCCCCTCCCAAAAAAAAAGAAAAAAGAAAGAAAAATAAAACTGTAATTCATCAAAATCAAGCCCGTTCATCTTAATAGGTGAAACTTCCTATGGTCAGATTCCCGAGAGCGAAGAAACCATGAAAGATACCAAGCAATAGCGCCAGAAAACTCTACTCTCTCCTCATTCAGATGGCTTGCCCTGCCTCCTAGGAACCCCTTTGCTGATAGCCTAGGATAAAGAGAGGAGCAGGGACTACCCCCATGGTAAGACACGAGTAACTTCACTTGTGAAAACAAGAGAAGAAAATAAACGCAAAGGATTCCTCAACCAGAGGTGGGCAAGGAGGGCTATCCTTAGCTCAGTCTGAGTGGGGCAGGTGTGTGCCAAGCCTGCAGGTATGTGGGAATTCTCTGGTGGCAGGAATGTTCCCAGTGCTGGATCCATCAAGATGCATGGACTTTGGATGGGTGAAGAAAGAACAGTGGGTCAGTGGGGAGGAACACGGCAGAGTGCAGGAGGGAGGCAAAGGCTAGGACTCCTCAGGAGTGAGGAGGCCTGGTCAGGACCAGCCTTACAGGGCTGTCTTAGTAGGTCATTATTGCCCTGATTAGACACTGTGACCAAAGCAACCTGGGGAGGAAGAGGTTTTTTAGGCCTCCTCATCGCTGTTCATCACTGAAGAATTCAGGACAGGAACTTAAACAGGGCAGGAACCTGGAGGCAGGAGCCGATGCAGAGGCCATGGAGGGAGGCTGCTTACTGGCTTGATCTTCATGACTTGCTCAGCCTGCTTTCTTATAGAACCAGGACCACCAGCCTAGGGATGGCACCATTCACAATGGGCTGGTCCTTCCATGATCAATCACTAAGAAAATGCCCTACAGGCATGCCTATAGCCTGATCTTATGGCGGTATTTTCTTAATTGAGGTTCCCTTCTCTCATAATTTTACCTTGTGTCAAGTTGACATAAAACTAGCCAGCACAAGGGCCCAGAAGCCACCTCCTCCATGTGATAAGTCTCCAGTTTTCTTGAGATTCCCTCTGGTGTCATGATTGATTTGAGTGAACGCTATGCTTACTTGGACTGGGGTTGGCATGGTTGACCCACTGGGATAGAAAACTCAGGGCAACTGTACAGCTTGACAGTCTGTGTCTTTCCAAAATCTGTGTTGTCCCTTAAACCCAATGTGACCTAGTTGAAGGGTCTGCCCTTAAAAGGGTTTAAAGTGGAGAGTTCACCATTGTTCACCTCTGATGACCCAGTGGGAGAATGCTGCAGGCACCATCTTGGCAGCAGAGGTCAACTCTCACCACATACAACTTGCTGTCATCTTGACCTTGGACCTCCAGTTTTTAGAAACACGAGGTAAGCTTTGTGTTGCTAAATTCCCTAGCCTGGAGCATGTTGTGACAGCAGTGCAGATGGTCAGAGAGAGTATGTGCTCCAGCCAGTGGAGTTCATTTCTCTGCTGCAAGTCTGGCAGGTGGTCCAGGCTGCCACTTCTTCTGGACCCAAGGCCCTCCTGTCCATACCGTTTTCCTTGGTGTGAGTTATGCTTTTAGGACTCCAACTGCTTCCTTAGGCTGTAGCTAGAGAGAGGGCCGAAGAGGTTGGAAAAGACCCTGGTAGGATTTTTTTTAAAAAAATATTTATTTATCTATTTATTATGTATATAGTGTTTATTCTGTCTGCATGTATGCTTGCAGGCCAGAAGAGGGTATCAGACCTCATTACAGATGGTTGTGAGCCACCATGTGGTTGCTGGGAATTGAACTCAGGACC